GATCCCTAGAGGGGTTGCAACCCACAGGTTGAGAACCGCTGCTCTATAAAAACAGACAGCCTTATCTTTCTTCGGTGGAGCAGCTGGTGAGTTTGAGTTGCTAACTTTGTGGTTACAGTACCACGAGGGCTCCTTGATCTCACTAGAAAACACCACTGTTTCAGGAGTGGAAAAAAAGGAGCCAGGTGTCATGATGACAAACAAATACATCCATAGAGAAAAAGAGAATAGTTACAGAAAGCCTGATACATAATTTTATTTTGAAAATACTTTGAAGTTTTAAAAGGATCATATTCATTTTTAGAGCATAGTGCTTTTTATAGTAACTTGTCACTCTTTGTGGACTAATGGTTGCAGAGTAAATAGAAAGGGTATGGAGGAATTAATATTCTTTGAGCAATTTCTCTTAACTAAGATTGAAGATTTATGGAACAGTTTGGAAGTATATTGTTAGGATGACTAATTTTCTGTGATTCTCATTATTGAATTTATCATCAGGGAAGTCTAAAATTCTTTGTTCATTGCTTGTCCTGTAAGGTGATAGTTACGGTAGAACCATAAATATAACCAGTTCAGAATGATCAATAAGTGATACATTGTGTTAAACCAAATAGATACATTTTCTGTCTGTTTTTTCTCTCTCATCAATTTCCAGGCTGGAGAAATTAAGTGTAACAGCTCTTTCATGTATCTGTATATATACATATCAGTAGTTAGGGGTGAAAGTTAATAGTTTGAAACTAAGTAGCCATCTCAAAGGCAGGAGGAAATTTTATGTATCATTATGTTAAAGCAGAAAATAAAGATAAAGTTCTTTAAATTAATTATAGTCCTTAGGAATAATTAATTTAGAAAATATATTTGGAATATGATTTAAAGTTTTTAGACTTTGCTATGTAGTTTACCTAAGTGAGTTTTAAGCTAATGTATTTAATTTCAAAGAAAAATGTTCTTATTCATAAACAATTTCAGTGTTCATTTTTATTATCGGTATTTCTTTTTGAGATGTGTGAAGAAACTAAGAAGAAAAGTGTCCTCATTATGTGATGTGTGAATTTCCACATCTTTGGCAGACTGTTCGGTTTCTCCCTTTCTTTCAGAAGGTACTCTTGAACAGGTGGTTGATTTGGGACTTTCCTGGCACTTACAGAAAAAAAGTGAATGCTGTGGGTAATTACTGAGTCTAGTGATTTTATATGTGGATGATTAATACCAATACTTGTTACATTTTAAATATGGACACATAGTCATTAGTAACATATTACATGGAATTTAGTAATTTAAAATTTTCAATTCATCTTTCTTGCATGAACAGAAGGGAGGAGCACAATCACCAATAGATAGGTTATGTTTTTTGTTAGCTTTTACTATGAAAATTGGGGGAAACTGGTTTCCTTAATACTCTGTTAAGCCAAAAGTTTTGGAAGATCTCCATCAAGAAAACAGAGTTATTCATCAAAAAGTGAAAATTGTGCTGAAGAAACGTTTGAAGATTTACTTTTGAAATACAAGCAAATACAGTTGGAACTTGAATGTATTAATAAGGATGAAAAATTAGCTTTGAGTAGCAAAGAAGAAAATGCACAGGAAGACTCTAAAACACAGAACATTCAGGACCAAACAAGCACTGATCATGTCAGTGTTACAAAGGACTCAAGTAAAGAAGTAGCTCCCGAGGAGAAAACACAGATAAAAACTTTTCAGGCATTTGAATTGAAACCACTCAGGCAAAAATTGACTTTACCAGGAGATAAGAACCGGTTGAAAAAAGTTAAAGATGGAGCAAAACCACTTTCTCTGAAATCTGACACTACTGAATCTAGTCAAGGTAATGGAATTTAATATTCTAGTTAAAAATTAATAGTGATTAATTAGTAAACTAGGAAATAGTTAATGAGTAAATAGTAAACATGAGAACTAGTGGTTTGATAATATACTTGATTGAAATAATTTTAATCATTTATCTATAAATTCATTTTTTAAACAGGCATTGAGAAGCTTTTTTCCCTTATTTTCTGGTGTTCATACTGGTCAGGTTGTATGATACAGGGTGGAACAAAAGTGAAAATAGTAGACACCTAAAGTTCTCTAAAAGCTATGTTTTAAAGATTTAGTGTGCAACATGATCTTTTAAGTTTTTTGCTCTATCCTTTATCAAGATATTACTGTTACTTGGTTGTTTTGCTTGAGATTTCAACATGAATGGATATTCAAGTTTATAAAAATTTTTTTCTTCATCTGATTCTTTAATTTGTTAATGTATTGGATTGCTATATTTTCCATTAATTTTTATAAGGTTATACCATTCGTGTATGCTTAGGATAAATGTAAAAGCTCATGATATATCATGTTAGATATCGTAGATTTGGCTTAACCTTTTTCATTAAGATATAATGTATTGACAAATTGCACCCTTTTTAGTGTTCACTTTTGTAAATTTTGACAAATGCAGGCATATATGTAACCACCACAGTCAGATACAGAACCGCTTCATCACCCTCCAACAATTCCCTAGGCCCTTTTTATTAAACCTCGATCCTCAGTCCACATGACAATCACTAATTTGGTTTTTTCTTTTTTTTTTTTT